ACGCCCATGAAAATTGGGCTTAAGCCCATAAATATGCGCCCACAACGCCCAATAGTGAATCAGGGCCACAGCGTCTTTCCACTTTAGTGAGTTTGTATGATGAGACTCCTATGGGACTCAAAGTTTTTGGCATTGAAGCCATACAGGGTGACACCGACACATGTAGGAAGTATTTTGCAAACTTTGCAGAAGGGAATCGTTTTGGATTCACCAATTGGGTACTCTGGTCCCCAATGGTCTGAATGACTCATTAGATGTTCAGTCTCTCCTTTGAAGTTGTTCACATTTCTCTGAGTGGTTTCATAAGGCTTTTCTACACAGGTCCCCACTTAGTTTTGAGAACAGGACCTCAGCTTTTTTGTACATTGTTCAGTTCATAGAGCTCTACCATGTGGGTTACATATACACCCGCCATCATGCACTTATGGTGTTAATACTATCTCACATTACGCTGTACACACCATTACATCTGTGTTTATGTATATACTCCCCCTGCTCCGGCCTCACGGTCCACTAACTGGCTTTACAGACTTTCACTATATAATTTTCCCACCAGTTTTTAGGTTTACCTACAGCTACCTTCTCCAATCTTCAGGTAGATACTAGATATTGTTTATGTCTACATTTGTCGCTTTGAGCATCTCGATATTGGTGCATTTTTTTGGAATATGGAACACTTATGCTTATGCGTTTTTACCTTTTTTAAATTTATTATTTTTATATATATAAATATAATTTTTTTTCTCTCAGATATATATTATTTTTGTTTTTTTCTGTATATACATTTTTTCTCATATATATTTATTTATTTATTTTTTCTTCCCCCATTATACATTTCATTTATACATATCCATCAATTATTTCTACTATATATTTTATTGGCATTTCATTATTCATCTATCATCATTTGCAGACAGTTTTTCAGATATACAGTATTTTGGCATGTGACAGTGCATCTAGACATGCACATAATATATCATGTCCCCTTTTTTTAATGTATATACTTTTTCATTAGCACACAAGCCACTCATGGTTTGGCATCTTTTTCGTTCCATTTCACACTCCATGACTTTGCTACCTAGTGCAAAGTCTGTTTAGCTCGGCATCCCAGAAGGTTCCTCTCATAGTGATCGTTCCCAGGGCTGCCAGTGTCATTTAATTCCCTTTGGCTACTTCCGCCCATACCCACGTCACTTCCTGCAGGCGGCGAGTATCAGCGCTCAGTGCGCATACACATTTTAATTCATAGTGAAGGCCGCCATACGGCTGGCTATGCCGGCGTCTTCACACACATGGAGGATGCCATTTACACTGGCTCCCATTCATGAATGTCTCCCCATCTGGTGCTATAATAAGTCAATGCAGCCAGTTTTATGCTTTTGAACTTTTCCACTTTTTCACATACCAGTACCAATAGCACTAACATTGTAAATACACACAGGTATGAATATTCCTTTTTGTTTTGTTTTTGTATGGCAGTTTTCACAAATTTGTTGTCTGACGCCTTTGTCACATTATTCCTCCCCTCCCGATTGGTCGACCCATCAATTGAGCGGTCACCCGGACGGGGAGGAGCCTTTTTGGCCTTTCACATGATCTGCTCAATTGGCCTCTCATTTCATCCTACTCTTCTATATAGGTTTGCATCATGTATAGTTGTTTTAACCCCTGAAGAAGGGAGAACGTCTTCCGAAATGCGTTAGAATACCCTGTCGCCTGACTACCGTTTTGCTTGGACTGTCACATTGGTTACTAGCTTGTTTTTTGACACTTGGTTTGTGAGTATATACTTTTGTCATTTTTAATAAATTCATTTTTGTCACGGTAATGCACGAGGAGAGTGCACCTCTTTTTTGCTTTCTTCCAGTAGTATCAAGATTCCCCAATCTTTAGAGGGCTGCACCTCAGCGAGTGACTGTTACTGTGGTCCTGGATGATTACAGACTTGAGTGCTTGTTTTGCTTTTTTCTCTTGATTCACCTGCCTGCCTTTGTTGACACTTATGGGGAAATGTTGGGGGTATTATCCCATGGCACCCCAATTGAGAGACTGCTTTAGTCCACCGCCAGCATGTGGTACATTCCTTAAAGTGTTTTGGATCAATCCTGCAGTGAAGAAAATGTATTTTAGTATACTTCTGGTGTCAATTGATACTTTATAAATGTCCTTTACTTCCCAACCCTGGGGTCAGAAACTGGGCCAACTTTTCCCGTAGCATGTGGTATTCTGATTTCTCAGAGGAGAACCATGAAATGGTTAGTTGGAGCTAGGGACCCCGCTGGACTGATTTAGTTATTTTTGATCGGTATGCGGTGGTTCCATGGATGAATGGTGGTATTTAGCTCATTTATGAGGTGTGGACTGCTACCTCACTGGTATGACTGTGATGTTGCTTCAGTGTCAAGGATATTGAGAAGATATGAGCACCTGGTGTCCAGAGTGATAACACACTTGATGAAAGGTTAGCAATAATTTACTGAGAGTGAAAAATGTACAAATCTAGCCAACATGTTTCAGAGAAATATGCCTCCCCTTTCTCCAGGGATAAACACCCAAATCCATTGGCACCAGAAGAGTAATGTTCAAACAGTAGTTGGTGTCCAACAATTTTTTTTAATGTGTATAGGTTGAATTTGGGTGTTAATCCGATATGATGCTAGCATCTATTGATGTGGAGTCACATTACTAAAATTACCTACATAGGGAGGGCATTAGAATAGTGAAAAATGTTTTTGAATGAGAGAGGGCTAGAACAGCAAGGATTTAATGGTTTAATTTTGGACCTTCTTGAGTTTATTCTCGCTCACATAGTTTTTCTGTTCAGTGTCCCCCACTACCTCCAGGTACAGGGGGCGGTGATGGGGACCAAGTGTTCCACATCATACGCCAACCTGTACCTGGGGGAGTGGGAACACCGGCTGTTTTCCTGTGAGACCTTGTTGAGGTACCTCTGCCATGCTGAATTATGTTGAAGGTATATTGATGATATTCTGCTGTTTTGGTTGGGATCTTTGGAACTTTTAAAGGCATTTGGTGAAGTTTTGAACAGTAATCTCTTTAATCTATTTTATACAAAACAACAATTCCGTTGTTGCAGGCTGACAGGTAAGCGAGCTGGGAATTTTTCTTTTTTGTTTTGACATGTGTTCCATGTGTTCCTCTTCTTCCCAGTACACAGCAGGTAATTGACAGCCTTATTGCTAGTTTCCTAATGAGACTGTGTAGAGGAGGGTATGCCCTGTCCATCAATTCAGGCATATGATTACACTAAGCTCTGTGTTGTGTGATGTGCAGCATGTGACATCAGACACCCCACCCCTTGCCTCCTGGAAGCTGAGAAATACCAATAAACTGCATACTTTGGAAACCTTTGGAAGGTTGTGGAGGAGAGAAAGCCGCAGATAAACAAGTAAAAGGATTTAATTCATCATTGATTATCACCAGAGGCTAGTCACTTCAGTGGGCTTATGTAATAACTTATTATCACTTCAAATCCCATATCTTTATTATTTTGAATGTATAGTATTTTGTGGGGGGGGGGGGGGAGGTCTTGTGAAATATATTGGAACGGAGAAAGCTGTTGTAATAGTCTTTGGTAATAATTTTAATATATGATGCAGGGCATGTTTTAGCAAAATTAAAAGGATACGTTCACCTTTGGAACATGTTATATGTTCTACAAGTTCCATGCTCCAGCATCTACTTTGTGCAACACTGATGCCCCCCCCCCCCCTTCCCCTATGAATGCAGGCAGGGGATTTTCTCACTGCACCAGCTGTCACAATTTAAAAACGGAGCCCCCACATGACCACATCATTCATTCTCAGTTTCTTTTGAATGAATGGCCTACAAGTAGCATCACTCTCTGTGGCTGATGGCTTGTAGTTCTCAATTAACTACAAGTGCAGTGGTGAGCATTCTGGTGCTTCATGAATTCTTCCTGCTCTCAAGTAACTGCATGCCTCTACAAAAGTACAGGCCGACAGCTATCCTGAGAGGATGCAGGAGCCTGACATTGCACCCACGATCTGCTAATCAGGGGTGCAATGCTCTGCAGGCTATCCTGAGAGGCTAGACAGGAGCCAGGCGTTGTGCAGTTTTTGGTTATATAAAACACCTTATGTGGAGGTGTGCCTTTAATAACAATTCACAGGATAATAAATAAACCACCCGCCTGTGGCTTTATGTGGCACACCTCCACATAAGGTGTTTTATATGACCAAAAACTACACAGCGCCTGGCTCCTGTCTATACTCTTCACAAACCTATGTGTTTTTACCACTAATTATAGTTGACACTATTGACTTGTTTACTTTAGAACACATCTGTGCGCTTTATCCAGAGTGTTTATCCTGAGAGGCTGCAGGAGCCTGACATTGCACCCACGATCTGCTGATCATGGGTGCAATGCTCTGCAGGCTTCATAGAAAGAAAATAAAATAAAATGTGAATTTTTTTTCTTCAAAAGGTGAATTTATCTTTTAACAAAACAAAGACTTTACATGCTACCCTAAGCAAGCATCCAATCTATTATAAAGAATAGTCCCCTTGAATGATGTTGGATTTGCTCTGACAACATGGAAGTGGAGCATTCCTCCCAAAATCCTAGTTATCAAACAGGGACCTGATATTTATAGCAATATTTTGTATACCATTTTAAAATGTTAAGCAATATTTTATTTGTAATATAATTTATCAAATATTACTATTAGAGATGAGCGAAGTATTCAAAAATTCGATTCGGCTGATTCGGCGAATTCGAGGAATAAATTTGATTCGATGCGAATATATTCGCTGCGAATTTAACTTATAAAAAGGGGTGTTTCTAGGCTTCAGAGAGCCTTTATATTAGTGCAGAACACTGTACCTTTAATTTAAATGCCCTTGGAGTCTGCTGCTGGGGAAGAGAAATAATACTGTCAGTCAGTATGACATGCAGATGAGTGCCGTCGATCTTAGAATCACCGCACACTTCACTCATTTGGGCAGTCACGGGGCCAAAACCAGAGTGTGGAGCCACAGTGTGGCGGTGGAGGCAGCAGCAATGGGAGGCCATACAGCACCCTATGACAAAATGGAACCCACCAGCAGTGTGAGGAGACCTGAAAGTGGCACATGGCAGAGTGTGGCGATAGAGACAGCAGCAATGGGAGGCCGTACAGGGACCCATGAGACACTCTGGACCTGGCAGCAGCATGAGGAGGCGGTACAGGGGCCCATGGCAGATTACGGGCCTGGCAGCAGCAATGGGAGGCCCGTAATCTGCCAGCACCCTATGACAAAATGGAACCCACCAGCAGTGTGAGGAGACCTGAAAGTGGCACATGGCAGAGTGTGGCGATGGAGACAGCAGCAATGGGAGGCCGTACAGGGACCCATGAGACACTCTGGACCTGGCAGCAGCATGAGGAGGCGGTACGGGGGCCCATGGCAGATTACGGGCCTGGCAGCAGCAATGGGAGGCCCGTAATCTGCCAGCACCCTATGACAAAATGGAACCCACCACCAGTGTGAGGAGACCTGAAAGTGGCACATGGCAGAGTGTGGCGATGGAGACAGCAGCAATGGGAGGCTGTACAGGGACCCATGAGACACTCTGGACCTGGCAGCAGCATGAGGAGGCGGTACGGGGGCCCATGGCAGATTACGGGCCTGGCAGCAGCAATGGGAGGCCCGTAATCTGCCAGCACCCTATGACAAAATGGAACCCACCAGCAGTGTGAGGAGACCTGAAAGTGGCACATGGCAGAGTGTGGCGATGGAGACAGCAGCAATGGGAGGCCGTACAGGGACACATGAGACACTCTGGACCTGGCAGCAGCATGAGGAGGTGGTACGGGGGCCCATGGCAGATTACGGGCCTGGCAGCAGCAATGGGAGGCCCGTAATCTGCCAGCACCCTATGACAAAATGGAACCCACCAGCAGTGTGAGGAGACCTGAAAGTGGCACATGGCAGAGTGTGGCGATGGAGACAGCAGCAATGGGAGGCCGTACAGGGACCCATGAGACACTCTGGACCTGGCAGCAGCATGAGGAGGCGGTACGGGGGCCCATGGCAGATTACGGGCCTGGCAGCAGCAATGGGAGGCCCGTAATCTGCCAGCACCCTATGACAAAATGGAACCCACCAGCAGTGTGAGGAGACCTGAAAGTGGCACATGGCAGAGTGTGGCGATGGAGACAGCAGCAATGGGAGGCCGTACAGGGACCCATGAGAGACTCTGGACCTGGCAGCAGCATGAGGAGGCGGTACGGGGGCCCATGGCAGATTACGGGCCTGGCAGCAGCAGCAATGGGAGGCCCGTAATCTGCCAGCACCCTATGACAAAATGGAACCCACCAGCAGTGTGAGGAGACCTGAAAGTGGCACATGGCAGAGTGTGGCGATGGAGACAGCAGCAATGGGAGGCTGTACAGGGACCCATGAGACACTCTGGACCTGGCAGCAGCATGAGGAGGCGGTACGGGGGCCCATGGCAGATTACGGGCCTGGCAGCAGCAATGGGAGGCCCGTAATCTGCCAGCACCCTATGACAAAATGGAACCCACCAGCAGTGTGAGGAGACCTGAAAGTGGGCACATGGCAGAGTGTGGCGATGGAGACAGCAGCAATGGGAGGCCGTACAGGGACCCATGAGACACTCTGGACCTGGCAGCAGCATGAGGAGGCGGTACGGGGGCCCATGGCAGATTACGGGCCCTGGCAGCAGCAATGGGAGGCCCGTAATCTGCCAGCACCCTATGACAAAATGGAACCCACCAGCAGTGTGAGGAGACCTGAAAGTGGCACATGGCAGAGTGTGGCGATGGAGACAGCAGCAATGGGAGGCCGTACAGGGACCCATGAGACACTCTGGACCTGGCAGCAGCATGAGGAGGCGGTACGGGGGCCCATGGCAGATTACGGGCCTGGCAGCAGCAATGGGAGGCCCGTAATCTGCCAGCAGCCCTATGACAAAAATGGAACCCACCAGCAGTGTGAGGAGACCTGAAAGTGGCACATGGCAGAGTCTGGCGATGAAGTCAGCAGCATGGGAGGCCGTACAGGGACCCATGACACACTCTGGACCTGGCAGCAGCAAGAGGAGGCGGTACAGGGGCCCATGGCAGAGTGGCGAAGCGTAAGCAGCTTAAATTGAAGGCCATACAGAGGCCTATGTTAAAAATAATAACATGTTTGGGGCATGATTCATGGCGGATTTAGTCAGTTGTGTCAGGAACTGGTGGTTTGAAATCCAGACTAATCCACGCCTGATTCATTTTCACAAACGTGAGTCTCTCCACACTTTGGGTGGACAGTCGTGTCCTCCGCGGAGTTACAATACCTCCTGCCGCACTAAACACACGCGCTCCGATGCCAGGCTACTGGCCGGGCATGACAGCCTTTCAAGGGCAAATTCAGCTAGTTGGGGCCAAAGGTCAAGTTTCGTTGCCCAGTAGTCAAGGGGATTGTCTACCTCGGTTGGCAGGGTGCTGTCCAAGTAGGCCCGAGCCTGTTGTTTGAGGTCCTGCTCCAGGTCCACCTGATGCTGCTGCTGCTGCAGCTGGTTAGTAGTTTTCCTCACTGCGCTGGTGAAGAAAGCTACTACTCATCATCGACTGCAGACTGAGGCAGCTGCTGCTGGTGGAGCTGCCACTGCTCCTACCACCCCACCCCTCCCCTGCTGCCATGGCAGCGGAACGCGAGCGCACAGGGCCCACAGTGTCTGAGGATGGACGTTGGCGCAGAAAGGCAGAGACCAACTGACTACATAGGTGGTTTTTATAGTACGTTATTTTGGCCTCCCTCTCAGCAGGTGTGAAAAAGGCCACCATTTTTGAACGGTAGCGAGGGTCCAACAAGGTGGACAGCCAAAAGTCATCCCTCTGTCTGATGGTTTATTATTCGGCTGTCGCTACGCAACCAACCGAGCATGCTATGGGCCATTTGTGCCAAGGAATGCGAGGGACTCCCTGCCTCCATCTCCACAGCATACTGCCACACGGTGCGTCTGGGTCCTCTGTCTCCTCCTCCTCCTCTACCAGATGCTCCTGCTCCTCCACTCCTGTCCGCTGAGTGGAAAAACCACCCATTTCACTCAATAATTCCTGAGCACCAATGTCCTCCTCTACCTCCTCCTCTTCTTCCTGTCCTGCCCCCACAGGGGTCATGGCGTTGAGATCTGTGCGCCACGTCTACCGCACCCTGACCAGCCATTGTTAACAGCATTTGTTCCAGGACGTGCAACAGAGGAATGACGTCGTTCATCCCATAGTCCTGCCGACTCACGAATAGCGTGGCCTCCTCAAAGGGCCTGAGCAAGCGGCAGGTGTCACGCATGAGCTGCCAATGGCTGACATCTAAGTTACACAGGGGAGTACCTTTATCCGCTTGTAACATCAGGAAATCGGTGATGGCCTTTCGCTGTTCGTAAAGGCGGTCTAACATATATGTAGGGTTGAATTCCACCTTGTTGCAACGTCACAGCATGAGGAGTCGGTACGGGGGCCCATGGCAGATTACGGGCCTGGCAGCAGCAATGGGAGGCCCGTAATCTGCCAGCACCCTATGACAAAATGGAACCCACCAGCAGTGTGAGGAGACCTGAAAGTGGCACATGGCAGAGTGTGGCGATGGAGACAGCAGCAATGGGAGGCCGTACAGGGACCCATGACAGACTCTGGACCTGGCAGCAGCATGAGGAGGCGGTACAGGGGCCCATGGCAGATTACGGGCCTGGCAGCAGCAATGGGAGGCCCGTAATCTGCCAGCACCCTATGACAAAATGGAACCCACCAGCAGTGTGAGGAGACCTGAAAGTGGCACATGGCAGAGTGTGGCGATGGAGACAGCAGCAATGGGGCCGTACAGGGACCCATGACAGATTCTGGACCTGGCAGCAGCATGAGGAGGCGGTACAGGGGCCCATGGCAGATTACGGGCCTGGCAGCAGCAATGGGAGGCCCGTAATCTGCCAGCACCCTATGACAAAATGGAACCCACCAGCAGTGTGAGGAGACCTGAAAGTGGCACATGGCAGAGTGTGGCGATGGAGACAGCAGCAATGGGAGGCCGTACAGGGACCCATGAGAGACTCTGGACCTGGCAGCAGCATGAGGAGGCGGGTACAGGGGCCCATGGCAGATTAGGGGCCTGGCAGCAGCAATGGGAGGCCCGTAATCTGCCAGCACCCTATGACAAAATGGAACCCACCAGCAGTGTGAGGAGACCTGAAAGTGGCACATGGCAGAGTGTGGCGATGGAGACAGCAGCAATGGGAGGCCGTACAGGGACCCATGAGACTCTGGACCTGGCAGCAGCATGAGGAGGCGGTACGGGGGCCCATGGCAGAGATTACGGGCCTGGCAGCAGCAATGGGAGGCCCGTAATCTCTGCCAGCACCCTATGACAAAATGGAACCCACCAGCAGTGTGAGGAGACCTGAAAGTGGCACATGGCAGAGTGTGGCGATGGAGACAGCAGCAATGGGAGGCCGTACAGGGGACCCATGAGAGACTCTGGACTGGCAGCCTGGCAGCAGCATGAGGAGGCGGTACGGGGGCCCATGGCAGATTACGGGGCCTGGCAGCAGCAATGGGAGGCCCGTAATCTGCCAGCACCCTATGACAAAATGGAACCCACCAGCAGTGTGAGGAGACCTGAAAGTGGCACATGGCAGAGTGTGGCGATGGAGACAGCAGCAATGGGAGGCCGTACAGGGACCCATGAGAGACTCTGGACCTGGCAGCAGCATGAGGAGGCGGTACGGGGGCCCATGGCAGATTACGGGCCTGGCAGCAGCAATGGGAGGCCCGTAATCTGCCAGCACCCTATGACAAAATGGAACCCACCAGCAGTGTGAGGAGACCTGAAAGTGGCACATGGGCAGAGTGTGGCGATGGAGACAGCAGCAATGGGAGGCCGTACAGGGACCCATGAGACACTCTGGACCTGGCAGCAGCATGAGGAGGCGGTACAGGGGCCCATGGCAGATTACGGGCCTGGCAGCAGCAATGGGAGGCCCGTAATCTGCCAGCACCCTATGACAAAATGGAACCCACCAGCAGTGTGAGGAGACCTGAAAGTGGCACATGGCAGAGTGTGGCGATGGAGACAGCAGCAATGGGAGGCCGTACAGGGACCCATGAGACACTCTGGACCTGGCAGCAGCATGAGGAGGCGGTACAGGGGCCCATGGCAGATTACGGGCCTGGCGTAAGCAGCAATGGGAGGCCCGTAATCTGCCAGCACCCTATGACAAAATGGAACACACAGCAGTGTGAGGGACCTGAAAGTGGCACATTTTGTCAGTTGTGTGGAACGGTGGAGACAGCAGCAATGGGAGGCCTGATACATTTTCACAAACGTGAGTCTCTCCACTGGCAGCAGGGTGGACAGTCGTGTCCTCCGCGGAGGCAATGAGGGATACCTCCTGCCGCCCTAAAGATTACGGCGCCTGGCGATGGGAGGCCACGCTACTGGCCCGGGCACCCTATGACAAAGCCTTGGAGGGCAAATTCAGCTAGTTGGGGCCAAAGGTCAAGTTTCGTTGCCCAGTAGTCAAGGGGATTGTCTACCTGCAGGTTGGCAGGGTGCTGTCCATGTAGCACTCTATGGCCTGGCAGCAGCATGAGGAGGTCCGGTACTCCAGGTCCACCTGATGCTGCTGCTTACAGCTGGCCTGGTTAGTAGTTTCCTCATGCGCTGGGAAGAAAGTAATCTGCCAGCATCGACTATGACAGATGGCAGCTGCTGCAGTGTGGAGCTGCCACTGCTCCTAAAACCCCACCCCTCCCCTGCTGTGGCCATGGGACAGCGGTAAACGCGAGCCGCACAGGGCCCACAGTGTCTGAGGACTCTGGACCTGGGCAGCATGGCAGTAAAGGCAGAGACCAACTGACTACATAGGTGGTTTTTATAGTACGTTATTTTGGCCTGGCTCTCAGCAGGTGTGAAAAAGGCCACCATTTTTGAACGGTAGCGAGGGTCCAACAAGGTGGACAGCCAAAAGTCATCCCTCTCTGTCTGATGGTTATTATTCGGCTGTCGCTACGCAAGCAACCGAGCATGCTATGGGCCATTTGGCAAGAATGGAGGGGGTACCTGCACCCATCTCCACAGCATTACTGCCACGGTGCAGCAGCATGAGGTCCTCTGTACTCCTCCCCTCTACCAGATGCTCCTGCTCCTGGCAGCAGCTGAGTGGGAAACCCCGTAATCTGCAAGCACCCTATGAGCAAAATGGTCCTCCTCTACCTCCTCCAGTGTTCTTCCTGAAAGTGCCCCCACATGGCAGAGTGTGGCGATGGAGATCTGTGCGCCACGTCTACCGCACCCTGACCAGCCATTGTTAACAGCATTTGTTCCAGGACGTGCAACAGAGGAATGACGTCGTTCATCCCATAGTCCTGCCGACTCACGAATAGCGTGGCCTCCTCAAAGGGCCTGAGCAAGCGGCAGGTGTCACGCATGAGCTGCCAATGGCTGACATCTAAGTTACACAGGGGAGTACCTTGAAAGTTGTAACATCAGGAAGTGTGTGATGGCCTTTCGCTGCAATTCGTAAAGGCGGTACAACATATGTAGGGTTGAATTCTGGACCTTGTTGCAGCAGCATGAGGAGGCGGTACGGGGGCCCATGGCAGATTACGGGCCTGGCAGCAGCAATGGGAGGCCCGTAATCTGCCAGCACCCTATGACAAAATGGAACCACCAGCAGTGTGAGGAGACCTGAAAGTGGCACATGGCAGAGTGTGGCGATGGAGACAGCAGCAATGGGAGGCCGTACAGGGACCCATGACAGACTACGGGCCTGGCAGCAGCATGAGGAGGCGGTACAGGGGCCCATGGCAGATTACGGGCCTGGCAGCAGCAATGGGAGGCCCGTAATCTGCCAGCACCCTATGACAAAATGGAACCCACCAGCAGTGTGAGGAGACCTGAAAGTGGCACATGGCAGAGTGTGGCGATGGAGACAGCAGCAATGGGAGGCCGTACAGGGACCCATGAGAGACTCTGGACCTGGCAGCAGCATGAGGAGGCGGTACAGGGGCCCATGGCAGATTACGGGCCTGGCAGCAGCAATGGGAGCCCCGTAATCTGCCAGCACCCTATGACAAAATGGAACCCACCAGCAGTGTGAGGAGACCTGAAAGTGGCACATGGCAGAGTGTGGCGATGGAGACAGCAGCAATGGGAGGCCGTACAGGGACCCATGACACTCTGGGACCTGGCAGCAGCATGAGAGGAGGCGGTACAGGGGCCCATGGCAGATTACGGGCCTGGCAGCAGCAATGGGAGGCCCGTAATCTGCCAGCACCCTATGACAAAATGGAACCCACCAGCAGTGTGAGGAGACCTGAAAGTGGCACATGGCAGAGTGTGGCGATGGAGACTGCAGCAGCAATGGGGAGGCCGTACAGGGACCCATGAGAGACTCTGGACCTGCAGCAGCAGCATGAGGAGGCGGTACAGGGGCCCATGGCAGATTACGGGCCTGGCAGCAGCAATGGGAGGCCCGTAATCTGCCAGCACCCTATGACAAAATGGAACACACCAGCAGTGTGAGGAGACCTGAAAGTGGCACATGGCAGAGTGTGGCGATGGAGACAGCAGCAATGGGAGGCCGTACAGGGACCCATGAGAGACTCTGGACCTGGCAGCAGCATGAGGAGGCGGTACAGGGGCCCATGGCAGATTACGGGCCTGGCAGCAGCAGCAATGGGAGGCCCGTAATCTGCCAGCACCCTATGACAAAATGGAACCACCAGCAGTGTGAGGAGACCTGAAAGTGGCACATGGCAGAGTGTGGCGATGGAGACAGCAGCAATGGGAGGCCGTACAGGGACCCATGAGAGACTCTGGACCTGGCAGCAGCATGAGGAGGCGGTACGGGGGCCCATGGCAGATTACGGGCCTGGCAGCAGCAATGGGAGGCCCGTAATCTGCCAGCACCCTATGACAAAATGGAACCCACCAGCAGTGTGAGGAGACCTGAAAGTGGCACATGGCAGAGTGGTGGCGATGGAGACAGCAGCAATGGGAGGCGTACAGGGACCCATGACAGATTGGACCTGGCAGCAGCATGAGGAGGCGGTACAGGGGCCCATGGCAGATTACGGGCCTGGCAGCAGCAATGGGAGGCCCGTAATCTGCCAGCACCCTATGACAAAATGGAACCCACCAGCAGTGTGAGGAGACCTGAAAGTGGCACATGGCAGAGTGTGGCGATGGAGACAGCAGCAATGGGAGGCCGTACAGGGACCCATGAGAGACTCTGGACCTGGCAGCAGCATGAGGAGGCGGTACGGGGGCCCATGGCAGATTACGGGCCTGGCAGCAGCAATGGGAGGCCCGTAATATGCCAGCACCCTATGACAAAATGGAACCCACCAGCAGTGTGAGGAGACCTGAAAGTGGCACATGGCAGAGTGTGGCGATGGAGACAGCAGCAATGGGAGGCCGTACAATGAGAGACTCTGGACCCAGTAGCATGGGACCCATGACAGACTCTGGACCTGGCAGCAGCAGCTGAGGAGGCGGTACAGGGGCCCATGGCAGATTACGGCCTGGCAGCAGCAATGGGAGGCCCGTAATCTGCCCAGCACCCTATGACAAAATGGCGGGCATGACAGCCTTTCAAGGGCAAATTCAGCTAGTTGGGGCCAAAGGTCAAGTTTCGTTGCCCAGTAGTCAAGGGGTTTGTCTACCTCGGTTGGCAGGGTGCTGTCCAAGTAAGTGCCCAAGCCTGATTGTTTGAGGTCCTGCTCCAGGTCCACCTGATGCTGCTGCTGCTGCGGCTGGTTAGTAGTTTCCTCACTGCGCTGGTGAAGAAAGTACATCATCGACTG